TGGGAGATAAAGACACTTTTTGAATAAAACATGCTCTGAAGTTCTTTTAACTGAAAATTGGCATTTTGTGGTAGATGATATGTCAGGCTGGTACCAGAGGTGGGAAAACAACGGCTGGAGGCTTGTCTCCGACAGAGTGATGAAAAGAGTTGATCAGGATCCAGTTGTTTATGAGTCAACGCTAAAAAAACAAAGTTTTAGTCATAACAAGGTTAGTATGCATGGTGGCAAGTAAGGCTGAAAATTGAGCCAGGTGTGGCAGGGTGGTAGACAGTTGTAGGCCCAGAAATGTCACCAGAAATGTGGGGATTGTACTGAGGTTAAAGTCAGTGGTTTGTTTCCTGTCTTCAAGGCTCACCCAAGATGTTGAAGTGAAATACTTAGTCACTTGTTTTTTCACTTTCTGCAGGTTGCAAGGAAACAAGACCTTGAAAAGAAGCGCAAACGGAAAAAAGTCGAATGGATGAAAAAGATGTAAGACAGTGCATTTTACTTAGTGGAAAAGCTTACTGTCAGTGATTATTGTACTTACCATTTATTTATTTTCAAGTTTATATGTGAACTGCTATTGTTAGGGTACTCCAGAGCTAATGGTTGAGATTTGACTCTTTCCACATACATTATAGCATTTGTAGGGCGGTTTTAGGGGAGGGGTGTGAGGGGTGTGCGAGAGTTTATTTCAGGGGCCTGGCTCTTGTCCGCAATAGCGAGGTGTCCGCAGGGCAAGAGTCCACTGTACACTGTGCAGTCCGTGCTTTGTATTCTCGGAAGTTCGCTTTATATTATGGTCTGTTCAAAAGCCTTCCTCTTCATTATTTGCTTGTAAATTTATTTACCTCACCCAATAGTTATATCATTCCTTAGTGGTGCACCCTTCCCAAAGAAAAATCCAGGATCCTCTCCTTCTCTATGAGAAGAGACAACCACTTTCACATGTTCATGTTGCGTCATTATTCAGGTACAGAGAGGGGATGTTGAAGACACAGCGTGGAAATGACTTAGAGACTGAACAAGTTGTACAATCAGTGGCTGAAGGAATGCTAACAATCACAGACATGCGAGGGCAGGATGCTGTGGAAGATTGGGAAGTGGATGAACTCCTGGAGTGGACCAACGGACTTAACTTTGACCAGTAAGTTTATGACATCTATTTCTCCGTATAGTGGTGAATATAACGCATTTCTGTAGTATGAGCAATTTTGATCCTTGAGGTATGATAGGGTATCTGCTTATGTCTGTGTTTATTTCTCCCTAAGATATTTGTATGACTGGAAAGAGATTGCCACAAGTGCAGGCTCAGAATATTTAACAGGTCAGTAACAAAATATTAAATGGTACTTATTTTTATTTCTCTCTGTGATAATCACTCACTATAGAGCAATTTTCAAATGAGCGTCAAAGGTAATCCGGGGTTGCTTTGGTTTTGCTTCACCAACAAACTTAAAAGAACTCGAAACTAACAGGGTTATCAAGCGAGGGAAAACAATGCTCTGGAAAATGTCTTTGACCAAAACGTGATTAATAAAAGTTTTAATTTGTCTGTTTTGTTTTTTCCTATTTTGCAGAGCAAACCAAGTTCTTGCCAGATGATCCCTTCTCACTGACGCTACTCTCTAGATGACAAAACATTTCACTGTGGCTTTTTATTTATTGTGAAAGATTATGAGATCGCGTTTGTGATAGTGAAAATTGTATATAGTTTGTATTTCTGTAAGTATAGTTCATAAAATGTAAGTATTTATGCGAGTGTGTAGTGTACAATAACGCAGAATCAGCGTGATTAAAAATAATATTAAAATTGTCGAAGAAGTCTGATCCATTTATATAAACATATCTGAATGTTGCACAGTTTCAAAGACAGCCGTTTTCCTCTTCAAAACTATTCTGAACAGAGCATTTCTGTGCCCGAAAGACGAACTTCTAAACGAAATTCCGCTTCGGATTAGTTATAAGTTCCTAATAGACTGAATGGGGTGGAACATGAATTTGGATCAGCAGGAAGTTGGAAAGTTTTGAATTTACGTGTTTCGTTCCAGTGCATAATTACACTGGCTTTACAAGTTATGTTCACTTCCCTTCCCGTCATTCTTTAGACGTGAACTATTTCTTTGCATAGCTGTGAAGTTCTTGTCATTTGATGTGTTTCAAAGTTTTGCTAGTGAGCAGTGACCAGTCCTTAAAGTTCCAAAATTGTTTTGAATAAACTCGTCAACAACTTGTTTGGAATTCCATTGAAGCGAACAGCAGTAAAACCCAACCAAATAGAGCTCCGGTTCATATGCGCTACCGTAGCCTGGAAAGTAGCCGACTGTTGCTAAGTAAAGCGGGAAGGACTCGATGCGTTCGACGTGAATTGAGAAGTTTTATTAATATAATAGATTAAAATGCAGTATCTGTGTTAAGACGTTTTGGTATAAAATGAGTGGGCCATGAAAGGTGTCAGAAGTCCACTGAGAAAATGCAGCTGGCGAATGGGCACAATTCTTTTTGCGTCTACATCTCTGTAAACCCTCTTGGAGACATAAAATCGCACATAAAGAAGAACCCTTCATCCCGTCCTTGATCTCAAATGGCCGATATTTAACTCATAGTCAGCTTTCTTTGCTGAAAGAGGTGTCGCCCAGGAAAAAAGATTGAAACGTTTCACCTCCTATGCAAATACTGAAGAAAAATAAAAAGTTGGTACCGAGGTCGAATTTGAAACAATAAGTGATCACTGGTGTATGCAAATATTTCGCGCCTTTGAATGTACACTTCATGAATTCCAACAAATAGTTGTATTGTCATGCGCAGCTTAGCCGATCTCAGCGTTTTTGAACTTTTAACGGTGACTGTATACTATTTGACACTGAAAGAGTACAGATCCGCTAGAAATCCTACATGTCACCATTACAATTGGTGGCTGTGCAAATTAAGCCAAGTTGAGTTTTTGACGAGTTTTATCAAAACTTTTATGATAAAACACCTGCGAACTAATCACACATCGGATCTTCACTTCACCAATATATCAACATTTACAACTCTAAACAACCTTGGGCTGGTGCGAATCGTTTGTCAGAATGGATGACGCAATAGGAGAAAGACTCTGGTATACCACAGTTCTGCGAAAAAAACCTGGGACATCTAGGTAGGTTACAACATGGGAAAAAATATATCATGGTTAAAAACATGTTTAGCGTGAAAGATTTCATGCCGCAGGGTCTACGCACGTAATTTACAAATTCGCATGTACTGGCTATAATGCCAGCTAAATGGTGAGACCATTCGCCACATTTGTACACAAATGCGATGCACCTTGTGTAGCACGAGGCTTCACAGCACCTGCAATTATCCAAGGCCTGTCATGACCCATGCTCTGCAGAACCTTCTGCGATTTCGCTTTCTGCCACCTCAGTTTTCAAATTAAGACAGAAGAGGCCATGTATTTTAAATGGGAAGGAGGACCCGACCGTAAACGTTGTAAACCAACCGTTAAAACACTTATAGTTACCTCATTATTTTTAGATAATTTTTATTTTTTTTATTATCATATATTTCCTATTATCATTTTAGTTATTTTCATTATATTAGTACTGTTTTGGTGCTTCCTGACTTTCTTCTAACTTTCACATGTGCTTCTGCTATATTTTATTCAAATAGTTCACGAATCTGTACAGCGTAATCATACGTCGTAATTCGATAACGAATTTTTCAAAGTGAAGTCAAATTGTAACATTTGCAACTTAAGATGACATGACTAATGTCGAAATATGTTTGGTAGACTTAAAAATGTCGTTTATTTCATACAACTATCAGAAAGTAGAAGCATGAAAAACTGATTTCACACCGAAGGAATGGCAAACAAGCGCGAGACGGCAGATTTGCAGAATGTACCCGCTCTGACTTTGAACGAGCTGATTTGCTAGATTTCGATATCACTACAAATATTCGGTTACCTAAGTTTAATTTTGAGTAATAGTATACAGATTCATATCGATCTAGGAATTCAATAAATTAGTTACTTAGTCAAAACTTCCTAAAAATCTATGACTACAATATTGTGATTGTTAAAAAGTTATTGCTAACTGACAATTATACCTTTTTTCCATTTTGATGAAGGTATTCACAGGTGGGATAAAATCAGTTCTAATAGGAACAGAGCCAACGCAATTGTGCTTGATTACTCCTTATTTGGACAGGAAGCGGCCTAAAGTAATGTTCCTCTAGCTATTCGGGCATGATCTTCGAGAAGCGGAATATTCCTTTCCAACTTAGACGTACTATTTATTTTCATCGTAGACTGTTGGAGAGTCATGAAAAGCAAATTAAAGACTGGGACTCGATGTATGTACCTCATGTATAGTCCTGAACAAAACCAGACAGACGCCAAGGTAAGTTTTTTTTTTAATATTAATGAGAAGCTAGCTTCAGAAACCGTGTAAATCTCTGCTATTAGAAGTCATGCAAAAAGAAATAAAATATTTATAATCAAACTACAACAAAATTCTCGAACGTAATTGGTTATCACAGCCCGATTTAGGCACCAATAGAACAATGTACACGTCATGCTTCTAATTGGAAAGTGTAATAGGGCATATAAGGGACAGTTAGCACGTCATGTCTGCGTAAGTGGACAGAACGCGTCATGTGAGCGCGCTGCTGTCTCGCATTTCGCCGAGTTAACTGTTGTTGTTTTTAATAAAATCGTACGACCGATGTCTAGTTTCTTTACCAAATTTTGTCATAGTTGTGATTAATTGGTAACAGGACTTCAAGTCGTCCAATTCTGTCTGTAATCATACTTGTAACTAGCAAATCGGACTCCTGGACTCCACCCGGTCCTATTACCATTATAAATCGCAATTTTGAGGATCCAACCTCGCCCTAAATTTTTCTTCAGACTAGCTAAATTTCCTGCTCCTGGGCTCTTAACCATAAATACCTCATACATACCCAACACACACAAGAAGATAGCCATGGAAAACGTGGTTTTCCGATGGGATAGACAAAATTCTATTCGTGACACCTTCCAACGGAAGTAAGACAATCGGAATTCATGACGCGAAAGAGTACTGGAAGTCAGATGAACAACTTGGAGGACTGAAATTTTGTCCAACGGACTCCATACCTCTGAAGCTGTAGTGGAGATTGTATTTGCGACTACATTTTTCTATTTGTGTGCTACAGAAAATAGCTAAGCATCTTGGCTGTAAACATACTTCCCTCTATTTTGAATTCCCGGTAATTTATTCACAAAGTTTATCTTAAGAAGCCTTCGTGTTAGTTGGAATGCTCAGTTATAAACTGTTCATAACAAACAGTGAGTGTGTGAGGGAGAGTATAAAAAAATTAAATGTTAAATGTGTTAAAAGTAATGTATGTAAAAGTCTAACAGCACAAGTCGTCCTTCAAGCGCTCATTTTTTTTTTCCAGGTTGAGGATAGTGTTTCAGCGAAAGATGTTTTAATCTCAGCGGACAAGTTGGATCACAAGAAAGCAAATGGTATCATATATAGCTTGGTGTAAGAAAAAATATTACAATCTGTGTCCCCTATGAGGATTCGAACCTCAAACAGTCTGCTCAAATAAGGCTATCCCAGCTGAGTGGGGAGTTTCGTGCGCTCCACTTGGTGCTTGTTTACTTTCGCGTCCCGAGGAGAGGTGCAGTGCAGATGGCCCATACTTCGGTCTCACCCTCTGGTACCTCGGCGTAAGCTCGAAACATTTTTGTTTTTTTTTTTATATTGTTTTTGTTTTTGATGAAACGAGAATAGTCGATAAAGGTATTAAACCCGGAGGGTGCTAGATTCATTTCGGTTGTCGCTGTAACCACCAGAGGATTGTGTCTGTATTCAAGCAGGGATTCAATTTTCTCTTTTCATCAGCATCATTGACATTCGAAGTCAAATAAATACACAAGCTGTAGCCGGTTTGGAGAGTATCTTCTTTTTAACTGAAAAATGAGAATAACAGTTGGTATTTACAGGACACAATAATGGCGACTGAAGCTTCTAGAGCTTAACGAGGGGCCAATAGAACTAATTGTCTACGTTATATTAATCCAAAAATTGAGCATCTCTTTATCAGCTGAGTAGAAAACATTTTTGGGTCAACGTCTGTAAGGATTCAAACCTTAAAACTTTGCCTTCAGACGCTCAACTAGCTGGGCAGAGAGGAAATTTGGGTTGACCTTTGTGAGGATTCAAACCTCATCTGTTCAAGTTCGCTGCCAAATGCTCTTACAGCAGAGCCGGCAGGAAAAAAACTTTTGGGTAAAGGTACGTGAGGATTCAAACCTCTGACACTCCAATATTGGTATCAATTGCCTTCTCAGCTGAGCTGAGAAAGATAAGTGGGTCGTTCTTGCTAAGGAATGAAACTTCAAGGAAAACCTTACAATCTAGGTATAAAATATTGAGGAGGAAAGCAAATGACTGATCGACTCTCGTGAGGATTTAAACCTCAGATCTACCGGTTTTGGTGTAAGATGCTAAACCAGCTAAATTACACAAAAGTGAAGCTTACAGAGCTCGACTGGGGGCTACAAGGACTAATTATCTTATTAATGATCTTAGTCCAAGGTTATAACTCTATCTACCGTGAGGATTCAAACCTCACTTGACTCAATTTAGCTGTGGATGCACATCTAGAAGAGCAGAGAGAAAATTGTGGGTCGAAATTCGTGAGGATTCAGACCTCAGACTAACCAATATCGGTTTAAAACGCTTTCTCAGCTGAGCTGAGAAAAATTGTGGGTCGACCATGGAAAGTCATCTTCCATAAAACCGTGCAATAATCTCGGAATAAAATGCCAAGTAGGGAAAGGAATGACTGGTCGACTCTGGTAAGGATTCAAACCTCTAAACTACCGATTTTGGTGTCAAATGCTCGATCAGCTTAATTATACACAAAACTCTTGAAGTTATTGTTCCTACCTCATACTAAGAATTGTGTTATATTTGCTTCTTGAGTGTGTTGTAAACAGATGATGTATACATGCAGTTTTTATTTTCCTGGAATTAAACACCTGGTAAAATCAAGTTGGTATGGAAGGCAGTGATGAAAGAGAATAATCAACAGAGCTCTGCGTGTAACGGGTGTTGCCTAGCTTTTAAGGTAAGAATGACATGAGATACAGCGATTGTTGTCGAAATACGTACAAGCTGTACAAGTTATAAAATACCCGTATCTCTACGGTTGTAGTGAAGATATTAGCTGTAAATAAATATCATCCTCGGCATTAAATAAATAGGATTTAGCAATATACATTCCACGAGGTGGCTCTTCTGGTCCACTGTTCCGGGTCGAATTGGAATTTATTTAGACTTAATTTAGTTTATTTAATGATGTTTTACAATGGACAGAAAGTAGAAGAGATTAAAATTTCATTCATGTGGAAGTCTATCAGCACAAGTTGTTTACCTTCTTGCACTCTTCTTTTTCAGCTTAAAATCCAGTTTAAAATGGTATCATATATAGCATGGTGAAGAAGAATCATTGCAATCTGAGTCCCCTGTGAGGATTCGAACCTCAAGCAATCAGCCCAAGTTAAGCAATGCCGGCGACTGAGTGGAGAGTTTCATGCGCTCCACTCTGTGCTTGTTTTCTTTCGCGTCCCGAGAAGATGTATAGCGCAGATGCAGTGAAGCTTGTTGAAGTGTCTACATAAAGTATATTCAGCAGCAACTAGAAGAAAGAGTTTAAGAGTTGTCTTCCTCGTGCATTATGTGTTCATCAATAGTGAAAAACAGATGAAAAGTCGCGGTGTTCGCACTTCAAGTGTTCCTCAAGAGAGGGCGGCAGTTTAAATGGTTGAGGTGTATATGCATCATATGGTTATCAACAAGGAAGCAGTTTAAAAGTTGTAGTGTCTATCCATCTTATGGTTATCAACAAGAAAGCAGTTTAAAAGTTGTAGTGTCTATGCATCATACGGTTATCAACAAGGAAGCAGTTTGAAAGTTTTGGTGCCTGTGCATCGTAAGTTTATTACCAAGGAAACAGTTTGAGAGTTGTGGTGTCAATGCATCATATGGTTATCAACAAGAAAGCGATTTAAAAGTTACGGTCTCTGCATCATGTGTTTATCAACGAGCAAGGAATTAAAAAGTTGCGGTGTCTATAGATCACGTGTTCATCACCATGGAAGCAGTTTAACCCTTGCACCACTGCAGCGTCTCTTCATCATATGATCATCACAAGAGAAGCAGTTTTAAAAATTGCAGCGTCTAAATATATATATATATATATATATAAATATATATATTATGTGATATGTGTTCATCAAAAAGTAGAATAAGTAGCAATAAAATAAGCGATAAATAAATCAATAAAAAATTATAATTTTATCAATAAAAGATACTTAAACAATAAATCAATCAAATACAAACTAACCCCTCCCTACTTACTCAACCATCCCTGAAAGACTCCACACTTTTCCGCCCCCCTTAGAAATTTACCCATATTGAATTTATTTTGGGTTTCAAGTCCTAATGATCGTTCAATCGTTCGATGTAAGGCGCAAAGAAAATAGAAATTAGTACCGCTACGATAATCCCGACATCCACTTTCAGACGTCGGATTCCGGACCTTCGATTTTTGCGTTCGGAATTTTACTTCCGACTATCGAATTCTAATTTTCCGATTTCCGGCTTCGGCCTTCTAATTTCCGTCACCAGAAATTCGGATTTCGGACCTTCGCTTTCGGAGTTCGGAATGTTACTTGTGACTATCGATCTCTTCTATTCCGACTTCTGGCCTCAGACTTCTTTTTTACGACTTCTTGTCCTCTAAGACTCGAACGTCTTAATCTCTGACTGCGAAGTTTAGACATCCGACCTCCATTTCCAATTGCTACAACTCTACCTTCGACTAAAATGCTCCTTTTTTCCGATTTCGACCCTAAAGTGCCATTTTCAATGTCCACTAGGTGCAATTTTTAAGGAACTTCAGTGTGGCTATTATTGTGCAAGTAAAGTTGGTTATTTAAGGAATGTTTAACGTAACCATCTCCCTTAAACTGCGAATAAAGTCAATTTTTTTTTAATTTAAAAAGAACTTTACATATATTTAAAACTGATGATAATTTTTCACTTTTTAATTAAATAGAGCGATTTAAAAGACCAGAGTAATGAAGGATTGTTTGTATGGGAGGCTGCGGTTGGTTGTTTATATTGATTCAGTGGAAGACGTAGGAAATAAAATAATTATTATGTTAGTTCGTGTATCTTAAAATCCTTTAGATATATCGTTTTTAGTCTTAAAGTTCAAAAGGCTTCCGCGGCCTGGCCTTGTCATTGTTAACGCGGGATCCACTGTGATTGGCTAAAGCTGTAGTGGTCTCCCTACCTGAGATAATTAGGCGAAGCTAAATAAATTTTAATTAATATCCTTTTTTCGCCCAGCTTTACGCAAACAGGAGTGTCTTGAGCTTTGCTGAGGTGGTCATTTGATCTTAGCGACTGAGAGGCACTACTAATCAGAAGCAAGCAATATTTCAGAACCTGTCGACAAACCTTTTTGAGGTCACTGTCTCGCTCACCTCTTTAATCAATCCAGAAATTGACATCATAAAGGAAATTGATTGTCTTGTGCAACGTAAACGGAGAACGAGACAGAAAAGAAACATCCCTGTCGCAGTAGTGATAGCCTTGCGAATAATTATCTGGGTTTCTATATGATCATGTAAGAGCATAAACCCAGCATTTCGTAAAACAATGCGCGATTTCAATAATGCCGTACGTTGCTCAAAGATATGTTTAGGTTTATTTATTTGGATAAAACCTAAAGTTCCTCCTTTGTTTCAATGCAACTTGTGCTTCTATTGTGCGCAGAAACCTAAATGGATAAAATTGGTCGTGAAGTGTTGACACTTAATATCTCTAATCCCGCGACATAATATAGCTTCCCAGCGTGGAGGACCATAAAGATGTTTGTTAGTAACAGATTGAATCAGCATAAAATCTGTTATTTGATAACTTTCTCAGTTCTCCTCACCCGTCTACATTGCCAAGTACTAAATTTAAAAGGAGAATTTATGTGGCAGTCATCATGGCTGTGAGGTTAGCTTACTTTGGCCTAAATCTAAATTATCCATTTAATACTCAATTTCGAGCGGGACTGACTCGTACATGTCGAAATCTGACTTGTCGAATTGTCGTGATATGATAGCAGCTGGCTACGAAAAATTTTGCAACTGTTCATGGTAGATAGTATCGAGTTTTTTGTAAAAGGGTAGACAAAAATGTCAATTAATCGCTAAGCTTTTCTTCACGTCAGTCAGAAATTAGACAAATGACTTCAAATCCTTCAATTCCATACAATTACAACTCCGTATCTTGCGTGTTTCATACATCTTGCATTAATAGGAGTAAAATGCCTTCCAACTTTCTAGAGACACTTCTCTGATTTTTTCATTTTAACGTAAACTCATGTGTGATTGCAAAACAGAAAAGAGACCCAGAAAATTTTGAACTTTTTTAATGATAGAGATAACAATGTCCTAATTGGGTTGGAATTTGTTATGGAGACAAAAGCATCTGTTCTGTTTGCGAGCCAACCTGGTACAATGCATGTTTACAAATCGTTACCAGTTTTTAGATTTTAGATATTGCCTGCTCATGGTACAGGTGAAAATGAAAAGTAGAGAAACGTGTGTGGTTAAAAAATAGCTTACACATTATTAAACACGAACCAGTAGCCTTGAAATGCGTTATTTCGAAACTTATACTTTCATACTATATGTGACCCAATCTGCCAAAAAAGTACAGTATCGTCATATTACCGATTTCTAGTAGAATGTAATTTATACTGAAATATACCATTAAGAAAAACGTTTTGAATATCTCATTTTTTATCAAGCTATAATCTTCTGTCATTGATCTTTCGACCTCTCCCAAATTTCTGAGATTTGGGGGCTGCTATATAAGGGTATTTTTTGCATTGATTACGACACTTTTGTCCTGAGCTGTTTGCAGAAAAGAAGGTACGTTCGTTTGCGTCTCTCCTCGGAACAGAAACACCATGGCAAACAGACCAAAGGGATTCGGAATGTCTGCGGATTTAGCTCGCAAGGTAATAGGTTTTATTATATTATAAAGCCAAGTGTTTCAAAGAGCGGGCAGACGCGGGGTATTTTGAAGAGAGTCATAGGTACCAAAGCACCTCACTGTGCTGCTACGACCGTTGCACTCTGTCGGCAAGATGAATGCAAATAAATGCTTTTGATAGCGTCAATTTTCTTTAATGGTTACATAAAAGTAACCTTTTCACCAAGATTAACGATTCAAAATGATTAGCAAAGTTTTAAATTGAAATGGTTTCTCAGTTTGTTTTGTATCAGCTCCACCACCCCTCCCGCATCGTCTGGAGTCTTTTTTTGTAAGGAAATTGGCACTTTCGTTGGCAGTTTTGGTTGCAAATCGTTGGTGTAAGTCACCTTGTTGTCGTTACAGTGATGTTTTTGCTTTCTTGACTTAAATCAAGACTTGTCCTTTAAACAGACATTTTCTGTGAACTTGAGAAGTGAACTCTCTCGAATGAAGCAATGCAACCGTTGTCGTAGTTTTATCAGACCTATTTTTGAACATAGACATGAAAAGGTGGAAATTCTTTTATATGAGTTAAGTAATAGTGCAAAATCGAAAAACAAAGCATTGCAGTAATGATACTATAAGGTGACAGACCTCAGAAAAATACCAACAGAGATTTTTTATTAAGGTCAATGGGCGGGTCACACTAGGAACTATTTGGTAAAGCACGCTGAAAGCGCTGATGTGTTGAGGCTAACGGAACCTCTCGTACCACTATAACTAGTTAAGTACCCCTCAATACCATTATAATTAGCTAAATTTTCGAAATTTTGTTCAGACACGGACGACGAGGGTTACTGATTAGTACACGAAGGTGCACTGAACGAAAAGCAAATTCCTTGGACAATATTTTCGTTCCGCCGCGCGCTAAAGCTTTAATAACAAAAACATCACAAAGCACACGAGATAACCAAAAAGTTATTTCACTACCGAGCAACACTGCACCTCTTAAAATTCGATCCCCTTCGTCAAGCAAGGAATTTCTTCTTTTTCTCTCTTCTTTAAAGTATGCAAATTTTATAGAAGAAAAGAGAAGCTTCTTGGTTTGCTTTACATTCAGCAATTAATGGATCAATACAATCGTGATTATTTATTTGTTGCGTCATCAACAATGCGAGGTCTAATTCGCCCTTTAGCCCCACGGTGTATATTCTGGACTCGAGGAACTGGGTAAGAAATTTTTCGCCCCTCTCTCTTTTTCTCTCCTATACGAGATGGCTGATGAACGGGAGCTCTCAGCTTTTCCCGGTATTTCTGTCGCACAATTCAATCAATTATTTTGTGGAATACTGAACTATCCGTGGAAGCTGTTTGGAGGTAGAGGTCCGTGATGTTGTTCTTAGGATTACGATCAGAAAAATGCGAGCTATTTTCATGAATATTAATGTTTAAGATTATTTCTCTATTAAGCTTAACCCCTCAACTCCTAACATGTGGTTGCTAATTCTCCCTTCTAGCTGGATCACATTTTCTTGTAAATAAGTTACAAGAATTTCGTGTTAGATCAAGATAACAACCTCAACCTGACAAGTCTGATTGTTCTCCACATCTTTTTTGATAGACAATGTTTGGATATTATAGGGAGAAATTGCATGTTAATCGCTTCTGGCGGTTGAAGGGTTAATATTTATCGTCAGATCTTGTACTCCCTTCGGGAATCTTAAGGTTTTTGTTTTTTCTTGGCAGGCCGCAGCCAAGTATGACAGTCAACAAGAAGCAAATGCTATTGAGTGGATTGAAGCTGTTTTGGGTAGAAATGTGTTTGGTGGTAAATGTGGGCAAGATCATGTTCATGAGGTGTTGAAGGATGGAACAGTCCTTGTCGAGTTAGTATTGTAGTTTACCAGGATTTTTTTAATGCCAATGGTTCCAAACTTGGGAATGGTGTTAAATCCTTCATTAACCCTTTACCCTCCAACATCTGTATTCATATTCTCCTTACTGTCCTTCTACATTTTCTATGATACTGAAAAGGAGAATTTGTTTGAGGATCAGGAGCTCTCCAAAGTAGTGATCATTTCCTGTATTTTAATGACCTTAATGTTTGATTCAAGGATGATACTGTAAAGAGAAATTAGAAGCTGATCACTCTTAGGGGTTAGACTTACCTTAATTGAAATATTTTCCCAAATTTAAGGTGGAAATTGTTGATTATGTACCAGGTTGAGAGCATACTAGAATCCAATGTTTTTTTCTTGCAGACTGGCTAATGCACTTCGCTCTGCAGACCCTTGTAATAGCCTAGGCTGTGCAGTGAAGGGTAATGCAAGTACTGCTCCCTTCAAACAGGTTTGTTGAGATGTTAGTTAAGATCTAACTAGAGCATGAATTACTTTTTAACTATTTAGAGGTAGAAAACAGAATCTTCAGGAGATGTGCCTTTTCTGAATCTGGGAAAAAAAATTATTTGATTTCAATAAATGGCCCCTCAACAAAGCTAACTGCTTCAAGCTTAACAAGCTCTTCAGGTGGACATCTGTCATTCTCATAGGCCCAATCTCTCATGGAACATTAGAGGGCTATTACAACTGCCATCTTTGAGTTTGCAAGCAATTTCGAAAGTTGTTCAAAGGCTGATTAGTACCAACCCAGGGTTAAATCTTAATCAGGATTTTGGATTATTTTCTCTCTTTTTTTTTTTGAGAATCCAATCATTAAATTGAAGACAAAAAGAATTATTCTGAATTCTCTTTTAGGCATTAAGATCTGAAATCAGATTTTACACTAACTCTTGTTTATCTTAACCTAGCTTTTAAAAAAATGGCACAGTACTTTATCCAGAGTTACCTGCTGTGATTTTCAGATTTTCACCCATCCTCTTTTTTCCTTTCACTGATCCAATTAAAGTTGATGGGTGCCTTGAATTGGGGAGGGGAGGGGAGGGGAGGGGGGGAGGGTAGGGTCAAAGGAATTCATCAGCCATGGGATTAGTTTTTTTTTCCTGGGAACAGTAGGCTGGACACAAAAAAACACCCTGGATACCCTAGCACCCACCTTCCATTTCAATTAACTGAGGTAATGGTAAATATATTGATTTTTCTTCTAGATGGAAAATATTTCAAATTATCTAAGTTTCTGCTCAAAGATGTTGGGAGTAGAGGCTTCTGATTGCTTTCAGACTGTAGACCTGTATGAAAAGCAAAACATGGATAATGTAAGATGTTTTATTTTATAACAAGTTGTTATCATTTTATTTACTTAGAATAGTTAACAATTATTCACCAATAAGTGGCAGTGAATGGTGGTGGATATTTACCAACACAGAAGTGAATAACCATTTTAGTATATTATACGTAGATAGCAAAAATGTTGTTCCTTTCTTTCTAAAACAAGTGGAAATGAAATATATTGTTGATGCAAAATTTTGTCTCTTCGCTTGCTTGGAGGGGAATTGTACTTGCTATTCACCTTAATTAAAACCAGCCAATCAGCAGGTATAAAAAGCACTAATCACCTGTGTGGTGTATACTAGTATTGGATATGTCTAATGCAAGCCAGAAAATGTGATTAAGGATCTAACATCTAGGCTTACTTACCTAGTTGACTTATGGGTACCTAAAATTATTCCTTATTGAGATTGATCAGTACAGGTATCAATATGATAAGGCTTATGCTTCAGATTAATGTTACTACCATGGCAACTTTTTATCTAATGACCATCAGATATATTTCAATCACTAGCTGACAAAAGTGGGATATTTGATAGGACCTGTATGGGGTTAGGACTGAGGCAATTTTCAAAATGTTATGTACCACAAGGAATGCTCAAAAATTTGTGGTTAATTAAACAGATTTTTTCATACTGATGTCACAACAATCAGTCAGAGAAATATTTGCAATTCAGGCTTTATGCTCAGGACAGCTAAAAGCATGTGTAATTCATTTACTTCCAGTACCGGTACATGGCTTGTTTCGTGTTTTTATTACAACACAGAACAACATAAAACAAGTACTTAGTACCTCAATTAGTTTTTATATTTTAATCAACCAGAATCAACCCTTTACTGTTTAGTACTGTTTTCTATATGTTTCCTAAGGTGCTGACAAGGAGAATTTGTTTATCAATCGAGAGAATGCGTAGTTGGTAATCATATCCTTAATTCTCATGACCTTACTGGGTGATGCAGGGGTTACACTGTTGGGAGAAACTAGATGTTATTTACTCTCAGGGGGTTAAAATTTTTAAGGAGATCATAATTTTTTTTGCAGGTCATTAAGCAGATAAATGCAGTTGGACGTAAGGTAACATAAAAATATTATTCCATATTTTTCAGTTATTGGGAGATATGAATTCTTTATGATCAGTGATAAATTAAACAGTCAGCTTGTTGAAGGATTTTTGTCACTTGATTGCTATGATTATTCTTGCATTCTTATTCACTCATCAATATGAAGTTTATCAGACTGCATTCTACTGATCACTTTTAGGATAGAAAAATAATGCAAAGCAAAAATCCAAGATTATTTAGGAGTGATTTTAATTTTTTAAATTTTGTGATAATGAAGGCTGATGCATCTAAGTTGTAACATCTAGTGAAACATCTCAGTTAAACCTATACTTTTACTCACTCATTCAATCATGTGTACCCTGGGCAGGCTCAAGCGAAAGGTTTAAGTGTTCGCCCATTAGGACCCAAGGAGGCCACTGAAAACAAACGTGAATTCACAGAAGAGCAACTCAAGGAGGGAAAGAATGTCATTGGAATTCAAATGGGAACCAACAAACTTGCCTCGCAAGCTGGAGAGCATTTTGGCCGTCCCAGGCAGGTTGCTGGGCATGATGCCTATAATTAAGATTCTGGCAGAAACTTCACTAAAAGGACAGTCATGGCTGGCTTTGAAACTTTTTATTTTGGTTGAGTAAATTTAACTATTCTGTGGAGATAAGAGATAAAGATAAAAGACTACAAATTATTGTTTACTTTCAATGAAACTAGATTGATGTTGTTACATGTTATGCTGCTTTCTTATGTTTTAAACTTTATCTAAGTTGTTTTAACTCAAAGTTAGAATAAATAAAAAAGTAACTGATGTGTTTTTCAAATTAGGTAAACTCAATGTTAACTGATTATTACAACTGCATGATTATTGTTTATCATTCTTACAATCCAGTTATAGTTCTGTCTAGATTTTATTAGCAGTCATTTTATACAAGATTTTGATTGTGTTGATTCTGAAAAGTAATATCTTATGTGGCTTTCAAAAGTGTTGGCAAGTGGCATTTTATTGTTTATGATAGTCTTAAACCCAACCTTTTAACTCCCAGAAGTGACTTACATAAAACTTCTCTACATAATATCCAGACATTATCTAGCAAACAGCTGACAAGAGTTCTCAAGGTAGAGGTTTTTATCTTGATATAAAACCAAATTCTCATAACTGATTTACAAGGAAATTTGTAGCAACCACAGGGGAGAATTAACAATGAGATCCTAGGTGTTTAAGGATAACTTTTGCCATTTGGTGAAAGTTACAATTTTTCACCCACTTTACATTGTTCCATTTTTATTTTTAATTTGTACTTTGGTCAAAGGTCTTAAAATTCTTTTGAACAGATCTTTTTATACACAGATTTCTTTTCTTCCTGAAAATACCAGATGCTATGTAAGATGAGTTAGGGAATTTGAGAAATTAATAATAGTTTATCATTCAGGTTTTGTGATACACTGAGTAAACATGCAATGGTAAAATTGCTGTGATCAAGACAAAATTACTCCTCACAATATCATCAGTATATCAGGTAGACAAGTGATGAGAATAGAGAAAAATATCAAGTAGGAGATTATAAGTTGATCCAATACAAACTTCTCAGAACTAACCTTTAAAGAATTATATGAGAGACATTAAGGAGAATTACTAGTGAGATCTTGGGGGTGAACTGGTTAAACGCAAGGGCACCATATTTTGGATCAGGAGAGTAAGATTGGATAAGGTAGTGGGTTGATAATTATAATAATAAGAGTACTGGTATTTAAAATTTGCTGATAGGGTTAGCTGTTAAGAAAAGGCCATTGCCAAATTCAAAGGAGGTCATGATAAATTTAGCTGGTGTACCCAACCAAGAATAGTTAGGATACTTGTCAAAACAAACCAAGTACATGTACTGTTAAGTTTTCAGAGATGAATTTAGTATAAGGTTAAATAAAATGCTTTTGTACATCAATTTTTTGTGGGTTGATCTAGTTAGGGTATCAACTCCACTAGAATCACTTGTCTAATTCTACACTCAGTTATAAAAGCAGCTCATGAATCACCTATTCCACCAATTTTTGGTAAGTTCATTTTTCATATTCATTTCAACAGGGTTAGCTTGCTATTTTGTTTAATTTTATTTAAGTGTATATGCTCTATGACTTGACAAAAGAAGACCCTCAAAAATTGTAAAGGGCTGGGGTGGTTAAACTGAAAACATGGTACAGAAATTGAGAATCAAAGACTTATGTAGAGGTTATGGTGAGAGATATTCAGACATTAAACCATGCTTAGGTTGATTCACATAGAAATGAATTATAGGGAATTTATCATGGAATGGATAATTCCAGTAAATTAAGGGATGTTTGGAATTGGATAGTTAATAACAGCAGTTGGAAGACTTGTGCAGGTTGTTGAAAAGAAATTGTTGTTTTTCTTGGCTGAATTTTTTGTAATACTACCTATATACTTCCTTGTCACATTCATGTGATCACAACTGACAATTGTACTTTATGTTGGATTTCTGAACAGCTTTTTGATATCAAAGCAAATTTATAATCTGCACATTTGTATTTTATCTCCTCAGGCTGGAGTGAAGGGCTTAACAGTCCCTTGTCTGGGCCCAAAAGAGGCTCAAGCTAATGTGCGGGAATTCACAGAGGAGCAGCTCAAGCAGGGCCAGAATGTTATAGGCCTCCAGATGGGATCCAATAAAGGTGCCTCACAGTCAGCCATTATGGTCGTGCATGGCAGATTGCTGGTGACGCAGCGTATAATTAATGGGCCATGGAACCATGGAAAGCAGTGACAGAAATCAATCTTGGACTCCTCGTTTGTTGGTAGAATATTCAATAACAGTAGGTAATAGGTAACCTTTGACGTATAAAGGACAGAATATGGGCATGATGTATCTCAGGTTACCACTTCCTGTTCTGACTGAGAACAAATATCTGATAAGCTTCAAGAACCTCACCAAGTTTCATATAACTTCCAAGTATATTGGCAAATATTCAAGAAAGATTATTGGTTTGTCAAGACAGCTCTATAGCACTTACAAGGCAAGTTTGATTCCTGCCCTCTGATCATTGTAGTGCTATGAAAATTCTCTCTTCTACAAGTGCATTCATGATCCTTTTTAGGAGAGGACCTGCTGTGCTTTGAAATCAAGCCAGAACTTTCTAGAGATTTAAATTTAGTACAACTACTCAGATGCTTATAGAGCACACTGATAACAATAACATAATTTGCTCTAATCACCCTACCTGAGTTACCGCAGTATAGAAGCTTTCTATTGGTTAATTGCTGATACAAAAATCTGAGTAGAGTGGTGATGAATCACATCAATTATTCAAAGAAAATAAGAAAAATAACCGACAACAATTATGTAAAGGATTCTTGAGGAATCATTTCTGACATCAGTATTTTTTCGCTCTGTTCATGTGGGTTGGTGTCTTCCTATTTGGCTAGAATTCTTGAAGCGATTTGCATTGTAGAGGAAATTTTTGAATTGTGTAGCAATCCATAGTTTTTTTTAAGGGTGGAATTTGAAGAATTTTTTTGCCCCTAATATGGTCATGTCTGAAATTATGGGAATTTTTATCTTGTAGGATTACATCTTAATGATAATTATTACCAAGTGGATGTAACAAACTAACACACCCTAAATAGTACAGAAAAAAATAAAGGTTCGTGAGAAAATGGCTTTGTTGGTTCAATGAATTTTCATGTGACTGTCATCACTTTCAGCAATTTGCCTATTGATCAACACATCTCTGAAGGTCCATAAATTAAATCGTTATTGCTGAGTTTAGTTCGGCTTTTTCGGTTTATTCGTTATACCTATTTTTAGAGGAAGTCTTGGAATTGAAGCGATCTGTTGAGTTCCCTTTCTAGATCCTTCCTTCACATTTAAGAATATCTAACGGAAATGTCTGAAATGTATGGCACGATGATTGAGGCGGAGCAGCAGAGTCTGATGACGTAACGGCGTAATTTGGGAGTCAATTTACGCTTTCGCCTAATATAAAGCCACCAGCTTCATCTCAGAGTCTAATTCTATCAACTCAACTTCTTTGTCAGACGTTGCTTGTTAAGGAACTCACTAGAATGGCTTCTCGACCTAAAGGATTTGGTATGACGGCTGAACTGGCGCGAAAGGTAAATGCTGGAAACTATTGAACTGATCGATGTTCATTTTGCTCAGGCGTAGTTCCATTTTACAATTTTGGTTTCGACTCTCCTATTTTGAAGGATGCTAATCCTTTGTAATGTCAAATTTCCCTTATTCGAAGATAGTTTCTTTCCAGCGAGACATAGAAGTGATGGTTGTTGAATTTCGGTGAAAACCTCCCCGGTTCAGCTGTTGTCTGCGGTTTATTGCTCGATTAAATAGTTCAGAGGTTTGGGCGCGGTGATGGCGAGCTTGCGGACGTTCACTTCAAATTGTATTTTTGCATTTATGGTTGGATTCCATTGTGGATTCGTAGATAAAAACTATCTTGATAGCGTTTAATTTTTTTCAAGGGAGGCTTTAACGTAAATGAAGTCGCGCAACGTGGTCGTAATTTTGTTACCGTCCTATTTTGATGCATTATAAATAAGCGGTGGGTGACCATTGCATCGTCATGTTTGGCTTTGTGAGAAAAGGTATTGCTGATTGATTACTGCATTAATGTTTCACTAACTTCTTCGAACTTGCTCTACTGCTTTGAAAAATTCGAAATGTTGATTGCAAACAGCCTTAACCCGGACGATAATTCCATTCTGTCTTTGCTCCCTTGTGGATAAAATTTCAATACGCGGATTTTTTCTCCTGTTGATGTTTACCCTCTTAGCTTAATTGTCAAAAACAAATGTAAGGCAAAGTAAAGCGGAATTTCTTGACTGATGCAGAAAATCTCTTAAACGTTCTCGATTAGTGTATTTATTCTTGCGTGCCTGAAGCAACTTTGGTTTATCTCGAACGGAATTCGACATAGTAAATTTATACGATACTAGTTTAACAGCTGTCACGACTCGTGTCACACAATTATTTCATTTGTTAGTTTATGCCTCGTAAAATCGACGAAGCAGTGAATAACTTGATTGTTAAATGTACCACCCCATCTTCCAAAATCGACTGCTTTCAGGGGCTTAATTGGGAAAAGCATCTTGTATCCGAAAAAATGAAAGAAAAATTGAATAGACAATTGTGGTTTCACAAATCCTTCATGCATGCCAAGTTGCGTGACGCAAACTTGTGATAAAAACCAATGGTAAAAGTCGCCTTTGACTCGTACATCGCGAAACATTTGCATACTAATCTTGTCTACAAACTTGACGTTATCTCCTCTCGGCGTATGATTTACATTAAAAGAAAAATATTGAAAGGCCATCCAGTTGTCCTAATCAACCATGAACAATGATTGGCTAGTTGAAGTTTTCATTTGGGAAATGAAAACAGTACGCTTTTAAGAAAGTGAAAAAAAAAAACACAATGTGGCGTTTCATAACACAATTACAATCGATTAGTGGGCCGCTATAGTGTAATTGAAAGTCCAATTGATTCAAAGATGTGCCTGCTAGCCTATAATAAGGGACAAAGCGTCAGTGAGGGAAACGAGAATTTCAATTAACCCTTTCACTTGCTCTGTATTTCTTTCTTTCTTGGTTTTTGAGAATTTGATTTCATGTCAACACCTACTTGATTGGGCTGTTTGTTCTGATGGAACGTTTGCTGCATAGAGGCTTTGCAATTGAGTATCGTTAAACGAAAAATCAAGGTAATAACAGCGGAAAATCAGAAGCAACGAAAAAATTACCAGGAGCAAATCAGTACTAAGTTAAAACAAGCAAACTCTCCATAGTGCGGGAATACGCGAACGACCAAGTCACGATTGGTTATAGTTTTGCATCTAATTGGTTGAGAAGGCATCAATAGTTTTCTGGACCAATAAATTAGCGCGGTAAAGCGAACCCAGTGTAATTTCGGATTATTTTCATAGCACTAGGGGTTAAGAAGAAAATACCTTTTAATATTTTCTAGTAGTTAAGTTTACAGGTCAAGTACATCTTCAGGGTTCTTGATTATCGGTAAGAATCTGACCAAGAGACAGTTTTAAATGAATGGGAAGGTCAAGAGCTAGGAAGAGTATTTAAAGAAAGTAAGGGCATTGGATATGCTAGAGTTTGGATTTAGTTTGCATAAGACACACTTACAATAAAGCCATAATAAATAATACTGAGATTTGACCTTGACACATCAAACAGCGTGAATGGTTCTCTTTTTGCGGCTTATTTTGTCGCCAATCGGCATTTTGGCCTAGTATGTTCACCAAGGGGTTTCCGCAGTAAGACGCACAGTTCACGTAAAGTAATAACTCTACCAATATGAAATAGATAGTTATGGATGCTTAAATTCTTTGGGTCAGAATATCCGAACCGCCCTATAGTGCATGTTGAACCTAAAAATAGGTTGCAGTACAGCCTTCCCTTCTTTTTTTCGTCTTCTGAATGGACTTCGCAGTCCATTGATGATCGTGTTTGAACCGGGTAGGAAGACTTAGTGTAGAGAGGGTGCATTTTCTTGTTTTATTGGATAAGTATTGGAAAATACGGCCGACGAATTTCTTTAAAGGTTTTGTTCATCAAATAGTAGGTTCTGCAGTAGCATTTTTCGAAGAAAGCGTACCTGGCGCGTGCATGAAAATTCATCGGGAAGTTTCATGGTGATCTAGTCTTACAACAAGTGTGACCTTATAACAGTGACCCCGTCGCTGTATTTTCAACCGCTAATCAAAATTTAGCCAGCAATTCTATGATTCTATCTGTAGTAAAAATAAACCTCGATGTACCCCTGTAAGTGATAAGCGAGTTGGCTTTTAGCGCGAGGAAATTGGAATATCAGCGAAAAATTACTATCGTTCTAAACCTCATCACACTTAAGGCACTTGACATTGCTCATACTAGTGGTATGATGAATGCGTGTTAAATGTGAACCTCGTGATGGTCCTGCTCACCGTAGAATCTCTGTGGCTTGGAGGTAGAGCAGCGAGCGCGAAATATGAGGGTCTGAGGCTCGATTCTTCGTGAGGACGTAGACTTTTCTTTGCCTTAACCTCCGGGCAAGATGAAAAAACATCTTTATCTATTTCTACAACGAGTTAAAAAAATTACCAACTTTCGTGTTCTAACTTCACAATCTTTTTTATTTCAGAAAGACGCAAAATATGATCCAGAACTGGAAGCTCAAATAAGAACCTGGATCAATGCAGTTCTTGGTGGAGAAGTTCTTAAACCAGAGCCTGATCAAAAAGATTTCCATGAATCATTGAAGAGTGGGGATATTCTTGTCGAGTATGTTTGAAAGGATCCTATTCATTTCAGTTTTTAGCAGTTGTGCTCTTCTCTGATTTCCAAAATGTCTTTTTCATTCGCAATGGATTATTCGTTGTAGGCCCTTCGAGAAGTTGAACGCGGGAAGTGGTTAATTCTCAGAGATTGATCGGAAAAAAAGCGCTGCACACCGTCTTTTGGTGGTTTTTCGCTGAAAAGTGAAACCAGCTGATGAAAGTGTACCATTTTAAGAAGTGAAGTAGTTTATATCTGGTAACAGCCCCAATGGACAGTCCATTGCGAGACAATCAACGGAAAATTTGTTTTAATCGCTTTTTCTTTTTTTATATATCATTTGCAGTCTGGCAAACGCGCTTGGTGGAAAAATAAAGAAGAATCCAAGCAAGATGGCTTTCAAAATGGTAAGTTTGTGAGAAAGTGAGAATTAAATTTCTCCGTCTGGGCAGGTTCTTTTTTGAGCATTTCACGCGGAGAAACCTGCAAATCTGAGCGCCTTTTGTTCTACACACAAGAAACTCTGGTCGTGAAAAGTAGAATTGTATCGTGCTATATTATTTATGTGAAACTCGTCCAGATTTAACGGGAAGACGGTGGTTTGCCTTAGTTCAAGGGTAGGCTAGGAATCTACCTCACTGACTGTATATGCTTGCCTTTGTAGATGGAGAAAATTGGACAATTTCTGGCTTTCTCTGATGAACTAGGAGTTCCTAAAAGTGATACATTCCAGACTGTGGACTTGTATGAAGGACAGAATATTCCTCAAGTATGTCATCTCAATTGTGAGGTTTTATGTGGAACATGGTGTTAAGTTACGTTCTGTGCACTTAATAAGTGTGCTGTGTTCTCATTACTTGCCCGCGTGATAAGTGAGCAATTAACAATTTATAACTGTATAAATGTTTGCTTATTTTTTTTTTCATTAGGTCATCAGTGGACTGCATGCTTTTGCGCGGAAGGTAGGCCTAGAATACCTTTATTATTATTATCATAATTATTAATAATGGTAATAGGAGTGAGTGGAGTCCAATTCGGTCTGTAATCGTGCGAGTGGTAGCAACATCGGACGAGTGTGAAGCAGTCTCCTTTTTTAAGTTCAAAATTAATGAAGAAGAAACATGACGATGATAAATCTTTTTTATGTAGTATGCAAAAAGACCAGTGTTAGCTAATAAGGCATGTAGGATTTGGATTTCAAAAAAAAGTTTAAGCTTTGATTATCACCAACTACAGTATTATTGTTATTATTACTATTATTATTTTTATTATTATCATTATGATCATCATAGTCACCAACAGTTCCTTACTTGCATTTTTCTCTAATGTAAAATTACTCAGGCTCACTCGATAGGAAAACCAGTCCCTGCGTTAGGACCCAAAGAAGCGACAGCAAACAAGCGCGAATTCACAGAGGAGCAACTCAAGGAAGGACAGAATGTGATCGGGCTCCAGATGGGTAGCAACAAAGGTGCCTCGCAGTCGGGAGACCATTTTGGCCGTCCCAGACAGGTGGCCGGGGCAAATGTCTACAAATGAGGTCCAAAACTTGTGTGTGTTCTTCAGAACATAAATTTGTCGTGGTTCATGACAAGGTTGTAATTTGTGGGAAGAACAAGATTCGGTATTTCGTGCATAAGATATATGTAGTGTATTTATACGTTGATTCAGTAATCGTTTCCACTTTGATCATTTGATACTCCTGGTACTTAATTGTTGGCGTTGAAGAACTTTCTAGAATGATTTAGTTTTGGACAAATAAATTGCTTGGATTTGTCAGTGTTTTAAATTATTTTCTCCTGTTTTTGCAGGGGTTATCGAGTAACCTTTCGTAGAATGAAAAGCGTGACAGGGAAGTAAAATCAATGTTTTCTAAGATATGAAAAGAATAAAGAAAATCTTGTCCAAAATTTTTAACGAGATATACGAGTGCAATCTGTGCAAGCTTTCTCATCCTCAGCCCTTTACACCTTAACATCAGTATGCATATTCTCCATACTGTTCTCTGTACTTTTACTGACGTGCTGACAAGGAGAATTTGTTTAACAATTGGAATCTGCTTTTAGTTGGTGATCATTTCCTTTATTCTCATGACCTTTATGAGCGATTTGAGGGTGATACTGTGAGGTGAAGTAAGATGCTGGTCACTCTTAGGGGGTCATAGGGTCGACCAACTTTTTTTTTTTTTACATAAAACTGTTGAGAAGACCGTTCAGAGGAGAGGGTTGAATAACTTTATGCACAAACTTTTCCCGCTCTTTGTATGTTTTTCAGTCGAGTGGACGGCCTTAAATGCTTCGGATTGATGTCAGTATCTGGGCAACTGCCCACCTACCCCTCCCCTAACCCAACAACAGTCAAT